AGAGAGAATGGAAGGAAGAAGGAAGGAAGGAAGGAAGGAAGGAAGGAAGGAAGGAAGGAAGGAAGGAAGGAAGGAAGGAAGGAAGGCAGGCACATTTCTGTCGGCTGTTAAACACTGGCTCAAACAAACCAGTTGTAACTGGAACACTTCAGCTCTGGCATCCAGCATTGTGACTAGTTTCTTCCCCTACATAATGATGACCATATTAAAAAAGCTCATCATATTCCTTTTCTCCCACAGATCTCTTTCTTTCTGCACAGCCCTCTTGAATCTCAAATATTCAAATTGGAATGGAAGTAAATTTGAAGTGGACAAGAAAGACAGAGATGCATTTTGTCATCCCAGTTTGCTAACTATTGTCTGATACCATGTCTTTGTTTCACTGTGTATTATTCAGTCAAGTACAGAGGGAGCAAATTAACATCAATCAGGGTAAAATTCCAGGACTGTATTAACAAATTACCACCACTTTGATGACTCATAACAAAAGAAATGTATTTCATCATCTTTCTGGTACCCACAGGGTTCTGCTGGCTTGGGCAAAGGACCCTTCCCCTGTGGATCTTCGAGCTCTGGTGACAGCTGGCAATGCGTGGCATCCTTTGGCCTGTGTCTGCAGCCCTCCATGCTCTGCCTCTGTCTCATGTCATTTTCTCCTCTGAACTTTTCTTAGGGTGGGTTTCTTGGTGCTTTTAAGGACCACTCACAGAAACCAGGATGACTTCATATTAAGATGCTTAGCTGTATGCAAAGGAACATTCACAGACACTTAAGTATGTGAGGTAGATGTAGCGTGTGCCACCAGTTAAACTGGTCAGACTATTATAGCTCTCTGAAGACAGTGCTTTATGTCTGTACAACCAGAACCTGAGTGATCAAACAGAGAGGGCTCCACAGAACCAAAGCTGGAACTTGACTTGGAATCCAACACTAACACAGACTAGACTCACTGAACTGCAGTGTCTAGATGGGAGGCCTCCATCTGCCCTTTCTGAGAGTTTAACTTCAACGAATTCATTTTTTTTTTCTCAGAAAGCAACTCTCCACATTTGAGCAGGCGAGTTCACAGAATGCAAGAAAATACCTCCTACAATCTTCCAGTTAATAATAATGTTTCAGAGAAAAGTATCCTTTCGCTTTATTCTTTGCTCAGAACTGCATATAATGAGCTCAACCCAGGATCCAGCCAGCTGTGAGGGTCCTGAACCTTAAAGGCACCCAACGATAACTCGTGAACCAGCAGAAAGGCGGGCTCGACGCAAAAGGCCCCCTTTCACTGTTGTGTGTGCACACGTGTAAGTGTGTACGTGTGTACGCATGGGCTCTCCCACATCGCTCCTTTCCTCTCTCTCTGGGTTAATGACACTTCTGGTTGATTTATTGATTGCCTGTAACACCACTGGCTTTTCCTGAGGCACTTGTGATCTTCCCAGTCGTAGGTGCCACCCCCAGTGGAAAGCTGCTCCCAAACTGGGATGTTTTGATTGCTGTTTGGCTTCCCCAACTTGACTGGTCAAGGCTGAACCTTCTCAGCTTCCCTCGAATAAGCTCCTTAAGCCTGTTCCCTCCGAAGCATCTGTAAACAGTTGAAGGTCATGATTGTTCACTCTGCAAGATCGATATGCCATTAAATTGTGACAAAAAGGACTGCCAGACCATTAAGGCATCCCTCATACCCTCAGTAATCCTGATAAAGCGATGAGCTGTTTTAACCTCTCTGGCTCCCATCGCTAACTACTAGAAGCGCCTCGCTGCTGAGATAACCCTTTCTGCAAAGTCAGGACGACCCGCAAATAAGGGCTGTTGCTGCTTCCCAGCTGCTTCTGCTCTGCATTTCTTCACGCTATTGTGTAGTAACTGTGGAATTTAGTCTCTCTCTTTTTTTTTTGTCCACATACTCTAAAGCCTAATGTTAACATCAAAATTATTTAGATTAAAAAATATTTTTTCTCCAGGATGAGCAGGTTTCTCCAAAGCCTCATCATGTAGGTAAATTTCTGATTAGTAGAGATAAAAACTTAAATACCCACCATAGGAACTGGGAATGGCACAAATCCTACTTATCTTAAACACATTTTCCTTAATTCAACTAATTTTAGACATGTGCTACGTTCAAAATAATGAATGTCTGTTTTGTTTCCTAAGCAGCAAAAAGAGGAGAGAAACTGGGATTGTGTTTAGGAGCAGTGTCTTGCTGTACATATAGCCCAGGCTGGCTCTGAATGCTCCTACTTCAGCCCCTTCCCGCTGAAATTGCAGCTGTGTACCAGCACTGCCAGGCAAGAAGGAGGCTGAGATAAAGGAGGGAAAAGGCAAATGTTGTAAAATAAAAGTAGTTTCAATGGAGCTAAGCATTCTGAAAACCATTTTAAAACTAAATTTAGACCAGCCAAACCTTGTTATTGCATAAGCTTATTTGAAGAACCATAATTTCACTCAATACATGCCCAAATAAACTGTTGCTGTTAATTGATACTCAGTGGGTCGGAAAAGCCTGCAAGTACTTACAGAGACAAGGTTGATTTCATACTCTTTGCTAATGCTAACATTTCCTGATGATATTCAATGTGTGTATGTATGTGTGTGTGTATACATACATATATATATATATATATATATATGTGTGTGTGTGTGTGTATCTTTAATTTGTTTTATTTTTAATTATGTGAATGTATGTAGGTATGTCCAGGTTAAAGAAGGTTCCCGCAGAAGCCGGACAAGGGCATTGGATCCCCAAGAGCTGAAGTTACAGGCAATTGTGAGCCACCCATTACGGGTGTTGGGAACCAAACTCTGGTCCTGGGCAAGAGCAGCAAGTGCTCTTAACCATCTTTCCAGTCCCCGATATATTTAAAAGTTCTTATTTTTAGTTTACAAGCTCTTTGGTAACCAACATTGACTTTTATAAACAAACTAGCATAATCCTGATGCATAAACTTCATACTTAGATGTACATCCCTGTACTTGCATGCACACAAGCACACATACTACTTTTTTATTTTCTGAACAATCTACAAAATACACACATCATCTATGGGGGAAATCATATTTGACAAGTTTTATCTTAGTGTGACTTTTCATGTTGTTAGCACTTTAGTAGATTACTAATATCAGTAAAGCTGGAAATCAGTTGCTCTAACTATGAGTAAAACCTCCTCTCTCCCTTTGGAAGGCTTTGTTGCAGTTCTGTCAGCTTTCTTGGGCATAAACAGAATACACCGTTACTCCGTTTTCCTCTTGCTGATTTGCAAGCTTGAGTTTGCAAGGAAATCAGGTCTGGCCCTAAATGGCTTATTATGTCAACAAAACATACCTTCAAATGAAAAACACTTGAAACCAGCAGGGGCTGCAGGGAGTAAACAGAGAAGGACCAGTCTTTCTGTCTGCTGAGCCCATTAGCTCTCACCTGCACGTCTTTCTTCAGCATATCAATAGAATAATCTAGAAGGGCACAAGAACAAGAACAAAGCCTTGGGTCAATGAAATCATTCACTGATCCACCTGCAAAGCACTGTAAGTGGTGTATTAGCTTAAAATCTCCTACATGCTGCTTAGGCATCATTGCATGGGCCCTGAAGCCAGGCAAACAGACACTGAAAGCTTGAGGATTTTGTTTCTGCTTTGCCTTGTTTGAACCCCAAATTAATCCTGAATTTTGATTTTTTTTTTTTTTGGCTTTGAATTTGCTCTGCAGATCCTGCAACACGAGGTAATTTAAACAGATAATGATGACTTAATGAAACTGACAGTGTCTTAGCTCTCCCTCTGTACTTAATCATGTCTAAACCCATTTACAGATTTCTGGCTCATGTCACTTATTAACATATCAAATATGTATCTGGTGCCTAGTAGATGTCCTGTCATCTGCTAATTTCTGAGGGTACTTAATGAGCAATGTTAGCATCATCTATGCTTCTTAGGTAAATGTTTCTGTCTTTAAGGAGTCCCAGGCTATTATACTAGAGGAAGTAGGTAAGTAAGCCAACAGGATTGCCTTTTGTAACAACTTTGATCCTTTGAACTGGATGTTTGTTTGGATGTTGTTACCATGACAATGCAAAGGTACATCACCATTAGGAAAACAGCATAGATTTCTGGAGCCGCTGAAAGAACAGTATAATGGTTGTTCCCATTACCCTGTTCCTCTTACCCTGATTCTGATCTCCCCACCAGTCAAATGAGCAACATTTCTTGGCTGGTCTAAACCACAGCCAGCATATAGCCATGCCTTCTATCTGTATTCCATAGACAGGCCAGTTGCAAGGCACATGTTGGGAGACAAAATAGTCTATTGCTCTTGTGCAAGGTGCTGGGGGGAAGTATTGGATCACACAGAAATTGTTTCCAATACATAAAAAAAGCTGTCAGCAGGAAATATGGACTCTTAGAATTTATTCATTACATTTAGATGTTTTCTCTATTCATATTGTTCTGTACACATTAAAAGGAGATGTGGGGGACAGTAAGGTAGGAAAATATAGGAAAGAGAATAGAAAAAGTGTGAGATAAAATAAGTGTGGTCATCAAATCATTCCGAGGGCTGCCATGAAACCTCTTTTATCTCACCTTCATCTCTTCTCCATTGTGTGGAATGGAAAAAACTAGGAAATTAAAAAATATGTATTTACATTCTCTTTGGGAGGCAAGTGGGGTTCTAATGAATGTTTGGCTGACTCCAGGAAATCTGCCTTTTTAGGTCGAATCACACCCAGCTGTTTGCATTAAAGTCTATCCAATTTGATTTTCATTTGTCAGACTGATCCCTTTGATGTCAAAATTACTCTCTCCTTCTCATTTAGTGCTTAAGAGTTTCCAGCTGCCCTTGGCTCTGTACTTGTGTTGAGGTCTTCAGCCAGTCTTTGGTCATATTGTTCTACTTTGCAGTTGTCTAAACTCTATCTAAGTGATCTCATACATCTTGATGACCTAACTCAAGACACTTCTCCAAGATGTCTCTGGACCTGCTTTTTTTTTTATCTTTTAAAGATTCGCTTGTATTACGTTCACCCTCTGGTAAGCAGCTTCGGCTGTGTCTACTCATTCTTAGAGAGCACACCATTCACACCAACATCTTCTGTTCATTTGAACAAAAAAAAATGTTCAATTCTCTTTGGAATCATTGATTGCCACCTGATTTACAATGCCTCTTTCTCTCCTTCAGAACAGATTACCTCTTAGGGTTGAATGAGTCACAAATTGGTTTGGGGATCCTAAGTAGACCACAGAGTGTTGAATCAACACTTTAAGAGCTCTTCAGTGACACAGTATTCATTCCTAGTTCTTGGGATTCGTTATGAGAGACATCTATTGTTGTCTTCCTTTATACAAGAGGAAATCAGGAGGCTAGATGGAGTACCCAGAAGGATTTTCTCTCTAATAACTATCTAGGCCAAAACTTTGCTCTGCAAACTTTGAGTCACACTAAATTCTATTTGTAAGAATCTATGTGTGTTTCTTCAGTCCTCTTCTACCAGCTTTCCTATTAGCTATCATATCTATCCAACTATCTATTTATCATCTATCTATCTATCAATCATCTCCATCATCTCTATCAGCTATTATCTATCAGGTATCATCTCTACATCTATCAGTCATCATATGTATCAGTCATCTATCATCATCTATTTTTTTCATATGTTCTCTCTATATATAATTCAAATTTACCTATATTCTAATCTATGTCTGAGTATTGTGTTTTAGTCATTCTACCACTAATAGGGGATGTATCAGATAGCTTGTTTTTCTTTGTAAAATCAATAATTTCATTTGTAAGTAGAAAACGATGATTCTATTTTAGGGTTGTCATGAGGTTTAAATAAAATAATGTAGAAAATATACTCCATCACTGTGCTGGGTAGTTTTATGTCAATACAATACAAACTAGAGTCATCAGAGAAGAGGTAGCCTCAATTGAGAAAAATGCCTTCATAAGATTGGGCTATAGGCAAGCTTGTAAGGTATTTTCTTCATTAGCAATTGATGTGGGAGGGCACAGCCCATGCTAGTGAGGCCATGCTTGAGCTGGTGGTCCTGGGTTCTATAAGAAAGCAGGATAAGAAAGCCATGGAGGAGAAAGCCAGTCAGCAGCATTCCACCATGGCCTTTGTATCAGCTCTTGTCTCCAGCTTCCTCCCTGGCTTGAGTTCCTGCTCTCATTGCTCTTGATGATAAACTGCTATATGGAACTGTGAGTGAATAAAACCTTTCCTCCACAACTTCTTTTTAGTCATAGTTTCATCACAGCAGTAATAACCCTAAGACAATCACTGAGTGGTATGAAGCCAGTAATGACATCAGGAAGGACATTTTTTTCCCTTCTTAGCATGAAGGTAACAGGTACCAGACGAAAAGAAATTGCTAGGGTGAAAAAGAATACTTGCTGATTCATCTGTGTTAACCTCTTTTTGAATTGAACAATCATCTGGCTGGAGAGCAATTGAGGTTGATTCAGTGTAGATTCTTTGAAAAATAATTCTGTTTTCTTCCTTAGCTAATATATTCTATCCCTGCTGCTGCTTAGCAGAACTCTAACCATTCAATGACTAAAACAATCAAAATTAAATACCAGTACATGAGAATTCCAAAAAGAATTAGCAGGGTGTCTGCTCCAGATGATCCAGGGACAGCTGCTTCTCTGCTTTCTCCAGCTTCCCTTCCCACATTCCTCTGTTCAAAGCCCTGTTAGAGATCATGCTTCAGCCAGCACAGCTCTTTTCCCCACCAACTCATGGGCCCTCAATTCTCCTTATAAGAGTACAAAAAGCCTATCTGGATAATGTCTCATAATTGCCCCATCTCAGACTCCCTAACTTATTTGTAGCAAAGTTGTGGTGGTATTGTGTCACCAAAATATTGTGTACCTTAATAAACTTACCTGGGGTCAGAGAACAGACAAGCCACTAGTTAGTCAGTGATAGCACACGCCTTTAATCCTAGCATTCCAGAGATAGAAATCCCTCTGGATCTCTGTGAGTTCAAGGCCACATTGGAAACAGCCAAGCATGGTGACACGCCTTTAATCCCAGAAAGCCAGCCTTTAATCCTAGGGAGTGGTGATAGAAAGCAAAAAGATATATAAGGCGTGAGGACCAGAAACTAGAGGCATTTGGCTGGTTAAGCATTTGGACTGATTAAGCTTTCAGGCTTTGGAGCAACACAGTTCAGCTGAGATTCATTCTGGATGAGGACTCAGAGGCTTCCAGTCTGAGGAAACAGGACCAGCTGAGGATCTGGCGAGGTGAGATAGCTGTGGCTCGTTCTGTCTC